CTAATTTGAAGCTGAGTTCAGCCTATCATCCACAAACTGATGGTCAGTCAGAAAGGACTATTCAGACTTTGGAAGATTTGCTGCGGGCTTGTGTGTTGGATAGAGGTGGTGTGTGGGATACTCATTTTCCATTGATTGAGTTCACGTACAACAACAGTTACCATTCCAGTATCGAGATGGCACCGTTTGAGGCTCTTTATGGTAGGAGATGCAGAACTCCTTTGTGTTGGTATGAATCGGGTGAGAATGTGGTTTTGGGGCCAGAGATTGTGCAACAGACTACTAAGACAGTTCAGATGGTCCGTGAGAAGATGAAAGCATCTCAGGATAGGAAGAAGAGTTATCATGATAACTGGAGGAAAGAATTGGAATTCAGTGAAGGTGATCACGTGTTCCTGAGAGTTAACCCAGTGACGGGTGTAGGTCGTGCGTTGAAGTCCAAGAAGCTAGATCTGAAGTTTATTGGGCCGTATCAGATTTTGCAGAGAGTTGGTTTTGTGGCTTATAGGGTGGCGTTGCCGCCGGAGCTTTCGAACTTGCATGACGTGTTTCATGTGTCGCAACTTCGGAAGTATGTCGCAGATCCGTCTCATGTGATTCAGAGAGATGAAGTGCAAGTCCGGGAGAATCTCACTGTTGAGACGATGCCGTTAAGGATACATACATACATACATACATACATACATACATACATACATACATACATACATACATACATACATACATACATACATACATACATACATACATACATACATACATATATACATACATACATACATACATACATACATACATACATACATATATATATATATATATATATATATATATATATATATATATATATATATATATATATATATATATATATATATATATATATATATATATATATATATATATATATATATATATATATGATGTGTGATGAAATGTGATCAGTGGAATTGTGTACACTTAGTGTGTCTGAGGTTGTCTGTTGTGCATTGGGGTTATGCTTAGCATGGTGTGATGATGTGCTCCTGTGTGGAGGGTGATGGCCTAGTGCCCATCGGTAGTGATATTGTGCTCCTGTGTGGAGGGTGATGACCTGGTGCCCATCAGGGATTGTGAGGGAAAGATCCTGTCTCAGGGGAGCGTAAGTGATTTATCCTATTTATGATGTGCTCCTGTGTGGAGGGTGATGGCCTAGTGCCCATCGGTGATGATAATGTGTTCCTTCGGGAAGGGTGATCGCCCGGTGCCCATCGTTGCTATTGTTGAGTTGGTACCGCATAGCATGGGTTGAGTGGCATGTGTTGCTTTGTTTTATATGCCATGTTGATGTGGGACAGTAGGTCCGGGTCGATGTATGTGAATGATAATTGTGTGATTTACTGCCTTTTATTCATGTACATTATCACCGTTATATTTTGATCGTGATTTCTCACCCCTTTGCTTTTGTTGTGCTGTGTGCTTCTTCAGAAGTACAGATAATCCAGGTGTGTAGCTAGCTTGGTTTGTGGCGAGCTGTAGGGATGCTCTGATACGTAACACCGGGGCTTTGGGGAGTTGTTTGTTTATCTGATGATTTTGTGTGCCCCTGTAGCGTATCATGTTTTGATGAGTTCTTTTAGTGAATATATGTCTGGTGTATTTTGGGCAGTTGGCCGAGGATGATGTATATGACATGTATATGATGTTTATATGATGACAAATTTCTGTTGTTTATTATTATTGATATCATTTAATGAAAATGTTTTGTTGGTTTCTTCTGTGACATCCCGTTTTGTGGTGTGAAACTCATATAATTGTTTGTTTTAATTGCATTTATTTTGATTTGGGGAACGGGGTGTTACAGGGGCCCTCACCAGGACCTGGCTCTTCAGGGTATTTCTTCACCAACATAATGTCTTCATCAAGAAAGTCAAACTTTAGAGGCTCATAGCCTTCAACCTGTTGGTCTGCAAGGTAACTTGACAAGATACTTCCTTTAATAGCCTTTTGAGTCACGTATTGGATGTCATATTTGGATAATAACATATGCCAACGGGAAAGTTTCCCAGTCTGAGCAAGCTTCTCAAAAATATACTTTATTGGATCCGTTTTCGAGATTAACAAAGTAGTGTGACAGATCATGTATTGTCTGAGACGCTTAGCAGCCCATGCTAAAGCATAACAAGTCTTTTCCAACAGTGAATATCGGCTTTCACAATCATTTAACTTCTTCCTCAAATAGTAAATGTCGTGCTCTTTTCGTCCAATCTCATCGTGTTGGCCCAATACGCAACCCATAGACCTTTTGAGAATAGTCAGATACATGAAGAGTGGTCTTCCAAGAAGAGACAAAATCAAGATGAGAGGCTCTTGCAAATAACCTTTGATCTTCTCAAACGCTTGGTGACAATCAGAATTCCATTCAATAATTTGATCCTTGCGGAGTAACTTGAATATTGGTTCACAGGTAGCAGTCATGTTGAAAATGAATATGGAAATATAATTCAAACATCCAAGAAAACCTCTGACTTGTGTTTTAGTTTGTGGAGCAGACATTTCTTGAAAGGCTCAGACTTTATCAGGGTCCACTTTGATTCCTCGTTGGCTTACAATAAATCCAAGTAACATTCCAAATCTAACACCAAAAGTACACTTAGCAGGATTCAGCTTCAACTGGTATCTTCTAAGTCATTTAAACAGTTTTAGCAAATGATCCAAATTATCTTCCACACTTTGGAACTTGGCAATCATATCTGTCGCACCTCAAAAAATCATAAATCGAGAACGCACGACCCTCGTGCGAAAGGCACGAAAATGCGGTTCGACAGAGTCGCCACCAAACTTTATTTATCTCGAATAAACGGGAGAGGAAAATATCGAGAAAACCTCTTAAGACGAAAGGACAGGAACTGGGCTGTCGCAACCACGTTCCGAGTTCGGGAGTCGGTTACACAAGAGGAAGGTATTAGCACCCCTCACGTCCGTTGTATTCAACAGGAACCTCTTAGGGTATTTTGCAATGGGCGTTATCTAAGCTTGCTTGTTTTCTTTTCGATGATAAATGCAAATTGGTAGGTTAAGCAGATAAAGACATCTAGGGGAAATGGGGTGGTTAAGAGATAGGATGCTCGTCAAGGATTGTGGCCCTTGTGCCTACGCATGCTCATTCGGACGAGAATGAGAAATCAGAGCGTCGTAGTTCGACTACGAGAAAGGATGGGGGGAAACGGAATAACAGAGAAAGATAGAAGTGTGCTCGCCAAGATCATTGCAATCTTGTGCCTACGTATCTTACATTCAAGAGTAAATGAAGAATCAGAGCGTCCGTAGTTCATGGAGACGACCATGGAAAGACGGGGTTTGAAATGGATTCGAAGTTTAAAAACGAAAGATTGACTGACAAGCAACCCTAGGGCGTGCCTCGAGAGCTGTCACTCAAGAATTCAAGGAATGCGAGATTCCAAGAACTCAGTTCTTTCAGAAGTTGATTGAATAAGGTCAAAGATAAATGTTTGAACGTTTTGAAAACGAAAGAATGAACTAATAACAACTCAAGGGCGTGCCTCGAGAGTTACTCATTCAAATATTCAAGGAATGCTAGACTCCAAGAATATCCTTCTTTCGTGAGTTTGATTACGAAATATGTTTGAATAAGAATTAGATATTTTAAGACGAAAGGGTGAACTAACGACAACCCAAAGTGTGCGCTTCAAGAGTCATTCACTCGAAGATCCAAGGAATGCGAGACTCCGAGAATATTCTTCTTTCGTTAATTTTCTAAGAAAAGAGTTTGAAAAAGATTAAATCAAATACTTTGTGAAAAAAGGTGGACTGTGAGGGGAAAAAATGAAATTGGTTTGAAAATGGTTCGACGACGTGTCGAGGATTTGATTAAAAATGGCACTGGCTTGACTACAACTCAAGGGTTAGGTTGCGAGAAACGATATTAGTCCTTGAGGGTGCTCCTAACATTGAAACCACAATAAAATGTGAAAGTGTGTTCGGTAAGTTGGTGGCGAATACGTACTAGCACTCGACTTATGAGGGTGTTTGAAAATGATTTAGTTTGTAAAAGTTGAAAGATTGCATGAATAATAACCCAAGGGGCGTGCCTCGAGAGTTATTCATTCGAAGATCCAGGAATGTTAGATTCCAAGAACCTTCTTCTTTCGAAGTTTAATCGAGAAAATTTTTAGTCGTGAGGTTGAATCAAATTAGGGTACGAGAAGAGTTCATTTGCATGAGGCGAGAATATGAGGTTGGATTCGTTAAGTATTTAGGAGAAATGACGATTATTTGATAAATGAGACGTCGGCCTCACAACCAATTAATCGGGGTGTTATTTGGATGTTAGATCCTAACGACACCTTTTTCATTTAATTAAATTGCGACGTATTGTTTGAATAGACAACGAAAGTACCATACGGAATGCTAGACTCCAATGGCATTTCTTTGTCTAAATATTTAAAAAACGTGTTTTAGAAACGAAAAGTCGAACGACACACTACTCAAGGCGTACGCCCCATAGTGGCCATTCAAGAGCTCAAAAAGTGCTAGACCACACGAATTTATTTCTTTCGCGACTTAATTAAGAAAAGATTATGATTAATCGTAGAAAGGGATATTTAATCAGAATAAGTGTTCTGGTGACGAATAACTTAATTAAATCAAGAAGGACAAATGATATTTAGCATGTATTTAATTGTGTAATTTTGTAACAATTGGTTGGGTATTGGAGTATAGAAATAGAATCCAAAATAAATGATGATAGCTAATTATATTAACATTAAACATTTATTAAATCGAATAAACAAGTGACCTAAACTATACTAAATAAGAAAAAAATGATTTCTTAAGGTCAAACCAAAGTTAACATCTACTTACTAGAGTCTTAAACAACTCTTTAAGACACACCCCCTAATAAGGCCCAAAAAATAACAAAAATGAGAAGGGAATAAGCATCCCACCTTTAGTTGTTCCACAAGGCCCAAACTCGGATTAACCCCTTTACCCTATGGGTCATGGTAGCCTCACCGGGGTTTTTAGGCTCTGACGAGGTATGTCGGCCAACCTCCAAGGTGCGTTCTTGAACTTTCTTTCTGTTTGCGTGTTTTACTTCACTTCTGCATCTTCCTCTCTGAATCTTCTATGAGCGGTTTGCGAGATGTGTTATCCTTCGGGCCTAGCTCAGTGTTCGCTCAAGTTCTAATGTTGAACTTGAGCCAGTCTTACAAATTTTTGGCTTTTGTGATTTAACGAGTCGGGGTATATTTTTCCAGCATAACAGTAAAGGAATTACTCCTCCTTTTCAGGTTTCCAACGGTCATACTTATAGGGAAGATTGGGGAATCCTTCTGAGGGAATCCAAGATGACCCTTCGACGAAAATCTGTTAGGGTTTTCTTTCTCAAATCCCAGATTTCATGGGTTGAGCGAAACCGAAGATCGCCTGAAAAGATCCTCTCCACAAAAACTTGCTTTGTCTGTAGTGAGTACACTTTTAGAATGCTTATTCTTAACTTTGAATTTTACTGCGCGTAAAAACGTAACTTTCACCTTTCCCTGTCAATACCTTACTGCTGCGTTTTATAACTTTTGAACGAATATTCGGACTATGCACTCTTTCTGCTAATTCCTGCTTTGACTTTTGCTTTATGACAGAAAGTTGCTGCTACCAACTCTGCCTTATGTTGGGAGTTTTATTGCTTACTGATTGCAGTAATTCAGGTTGTGGTTGTGGATCTTTAGGCGTCCTGTTATTGAAGATTTTGAATAGCATGGATGTCGTGACATGTTTCGGTATTGCTTTCATTGCTTTTTCTTTTTCAGTATTCACAAATCTATCAAAAACATTTGAAATGCATCACGGATCTTTCATCTTATGTGTTTCATCATTTTTTTAGGAAGACACCTCCTTTGGTATGGAAATCAAACTTGGAGTCGGAGATGTTACAAAGGATATCCAACACCTGGGAACTGGTATGACATTATCTGAACTGCCGATTTAGAACAGTTTGTTCCCTCACAGTTTTACTTGTTTTGAAAATTGAGATATATTGGTGTGGATAGTATGTTTAACCACTCCTGTTTCGCAGTGCACAACTATTTCAACCATGGATCACCTAATGATATAACAAGAAAAGCTTGGCCTCAAAACTTGGCTCATCGTTGTGCTTCTTTTAGATCATAGGTTTTAATCGTGTACTTAGCGTGTGTCTTATTGTCAACAATCCCGTTCCTTATGAATTTATGTTCTTGCTTGTAGCTTGATCATTGTATCTATTGGAACTTAATTCGAATGGTTCAATTCTCACTTCATGTAACTTTGGCAGCTCTATGTAATATTTTGAATCCAAATTGTATACTGACTTTGAAAATTATTTTGACACTAAACTTAATATTTTGTAACTATAGCAGCCCCGGATTGGTTATTGAAATAGCTCCCAAATTTGATCACACCAATCGTCACCTCTCGATCCTGGCTCCTTATGCATTGTAGCACAACCTAAGCATCTACTTTCCATGACTTTGAATCGTTAATTAATCATGTCTTGAAGAGAATGTCCATATGGAAGAGACTAGTACGGCAACAAATTGAATTATTTTGGAATATGTGGATGCCGTGAGCTGCCTTAACTCCTAAACATGACTTGAGTTTTGGACAAAACCAAACATGACCTGAAGCACGAGCTCTTATTATTGACTTTGCACCGTCTTAAAAAAGAACTACTCACGGCCCACTAACAACCTTAATTTCAACCGGCCTGAAGCCAAGCATATACCTTATCACAACGGGATCATGCCATAAACTTGAATGAATTACTCCTTAATTTTTGTAAACATGACAAACATGACCTAAGAATGAAACTTGAATAGTCATTTCTTGAACATACTTGCAACAAATTTAGCCAAACTTTAGCTTGATCCATAGCCTTAAGGACATTCTATGAGTATGGCTTAAAAAACAATAAAGCAAAGCTCATAATCCAATGGACATGGGATTGAAAACCAATGATCACAGCCTTGAATGAGTCCAACCACATAAATTGGGTCGTTTATCCTGTCATAACTACTTAACCGAAAAATGAGGTCCAACTGCACTTAAACTACTTGCCAGGGCATGTAATCGTAATAAGCGCACATAAGGCGTCCCTGACTTAATCCTTGGAGGGTCGTGACCTAAGGTCAGATGACCATTTAAACAAAACCTTGGAACGAGGGAACTGCAAGAGGTAGGACAAATTTGGGGTAAACCAATATCGACGATGTATACATTGATTTCTTTATGCATCATGTCATGAAGGAGAGTAGCCATCGCCCTTTGATATGTTGCCCCTGCGTTCTTCAGACCAAAGGGAATGACCTTACAATAATAGGTTCCCCAAGGATGAATGAATGTAGTCTTTTCCCTATTAGCAAGGTCCATCTTAATTTGATTATAACTAGAGCAACCATCCATAAAAGAGAAGATTGCGAAACGGTCTGTATTATCCACAAGCGTATCAATATGCGGTAGAGGGAAATCGTCCTTTGGGCTTGCTTTGTTCAAATCCCTATAGTCTACACACATTCTGAATTTACCGTCCTTTTTGGGTACTGACACAATGTTGGATACTCATTCAGAGTACTTCACAATTGTTAGAAATCCTGCGTCAAGTTGCTTTTTAACCTCATCCCGAATCTTTAAAGTCATGTTAGGTCTAGTTCTTCGAAGTTTCTGCTTTATAGGCGAGAACTCTAGTTTAAGAAGCAACTTGTGAACAACAATATTGATGTTTAGACCAGACATATCTTGATACGACCATGCAAACATATCAACATATTCCTATAAAAGCTTGACCAACCTCTATTTGACATCAGTCCCAAGTGTTGTACCAATCTTCACCTCTTTCTTTTCTTCATCGGTGCCAAGATTAATCCTCTCTACTCGTTCTTTGTGCGGTTGAAGTTCAGTGTACTCATTATCAACCAATCCTACTAGTTCAGCGGGAACTTCGAAATCTTTCTCACTCTCATCCTTAGCTTAATAAATGGGCGAATCAAAGTTAGGTGTGAAAGAAGGGTCATCAGATTCAACGTGGTTTGGGATTATTCAGCATGTTCGAAATGACTTATTTTATTAAAGGCATAAAGAAAAAATGCAAGAGAAAATGCTCTTCTTTTTTTCAGTTTTGAAAATTTGCCAATTTCTTTAAAATTAAAAGCGAAAAACAGTAAATGAAACAACTAGAATTTAACAAAATGCATTTATTGATAATCATTTGAAAGTAAAAAGGGGAGCCCTACAAAATAATCCAATAGCCTTGGGCATAGCTATGGACTTTTAAAAACAACAAACAAAGGATAATAAATTATTTTGACAAAGGAAAAATCACTGGGATCTCTATTGTTTCCCAGCTGTCCAAAGTAGCATCATGCTTGAATACTAGATTGCTCAAATCTTATCCTCATTATCATCTTCAACGAAATTTATTTGGAAATCTCTGCTGACAAACACTTCTTGGATAGTCTTCGGACGTCCTTTGACGGTATTGCACCCCAAAATTTGCCCAACCTTTTTTTTCTTTCTTTACCTAGCTTATGTTTCACCGCATTCATATAGCATTGCATTCATAGCATTAGCATCTGCATACTATCATCCATGTACAGGGGATCAGGAGAATGTGCTCATCAAAAGAGGTTATCAAAGCCCAAGCCTAATCAAGAGGTTGTATTCAAGCTATTCAAGAGTTCATCATCACCATCAGAAAGGTCAAAGAGCAGATGAATGTATGTAGTTGTATCTCTTGTCTTGGAGGCCATGAAAAGCTCAACAGATGATTTTAAATCCATGGAGGTGGGTGTAAAGCATTAAGAAAGCTCATGGGATCTCTTGAGAGTCACTATGGAGTTTGGATAAGCCATTATGCAAAATACAAGAGGCCACAGCCAAAGGTGGTGTAATTAGGGTTTTCACCTGGTCAACCCTAGGTCAACTGTGAGTCTTGAGGAGATTAAGACTCAATTCCAAGCAACTATGATCATGGAAAGATGTTTTGAGACACTTAAGAGATCATTTCAATATCAATTCATCAATATTCAAGAGTGTGAGAAGTTATTGAGCTAGGGTTTCTAAGCTTGACTGTGTAAAATCCCCTATCTCAGTGCCTAGCTTCAAGACCACATAACTCAAGATACAAGTTTCATCTCATCTTTATATCCAAATTATACTTTTAAAGAATGTTCTTAGCTTTCTTTTGAGTACTAGAAGTCATTCATCTGATTTCTAGAACTAAAGTTATGAAGCAGACAAGTTACAGGTCATCAGATGAATGTGATTTTGGTACTTGAAAGTCAACCAACATCCAAGACATTTTTGAGATAGAAGGAAGCTTCTCCTTAACTTCAGGCCAACATGAATGTTGTTCCTTACCTTCTCAGATTGCCAAATAGTACTAGAAGTCCTTGTTTGGATTTATAGAACTCAAGGTATGGAGCTTTCAAGGCAAGGGCATTTTGGGAAAGTAAGATATTTGGATTCTACGCGTTTTTGGAGATTTATTGGATAAAAGTGGAAATAAATAATATATTTGGATTCTACGCGAAAAATCACACAAGTTTGGTTCAAGAACCGCCGAGTTTGATGGAGAAACGAAGGAGATACGTTCTTGGAGCAATGAGGGAGATAAACGGTTATCATGATAACTTTTCTCCGGTTACGTGATCACCTACACTGAATTCCAACTCTTTCCTCCGGTTATCATGATAACTTTTCTGCCTACTTTGAGACACTTTCATTTTCTCATGAATCATCTGAATTGTCTCAGTAGTCTGTTGTACAATCCCTGGTCCAAGCACCACATTCTCACCAGTTTCATACCAACACAGAGGATTCCTACACCCCCTCCCATACAAAGCTTCAAACGGTGCCATTCTGATACTCGAATGGTAAGTGTTATTGTACGTGAACTCAATCAATGGTAAATGAGTATCCCACGCACCACCCTTTTCCAACACACAAGCTCTCAGCAAATCCTCAAGCGACTGAATAGTCCTCTTTGACTGACTATCAGTTTGCGGATGATAAGTTGAACTCAACTTCAACTTAGTACCCAAAGCTTCCTGTAAGCTCTTCCAAAATTCCGAAGTAAACCTCGGGTCTCTATCTGATACAATACTGGACGGAACACCATGTAACTTTACAATTACTCGAATATAAATCTTCGCCAGCTTCGTCAACGGGAAACTAATATTGATCGGCACAAAGTGTGTAGACTTCGTCAATCGATCCATAATCACCCATATAGCATCAAAACCTCTCGTCGTATTCGGCAAACCTGTAACAAAATCCATAGTAATACAATTCCAATTCCAAACCGGAATCTCTAATGGTTGCATAAATCCAGAAGGTCTCTGGTGTTCCACCTTCGACTTCTGACACGTCAAACAGGCATTCACAAATTGAGCAATGTCTCTTTTCATACCAGACCACCAAAATAATTTCTTCAAATCATGATACATCTTCGTAGCTCCCGGATGGATACTCAAACTACTACGATGTCCTTCATTTAAAATTGACCTTTTCAATTCTTCATCATCCGGTACACAAGCCCTGCCTCTAAATCTCAACACACCGGTACTATCCAATTTAAAGTCACTATTGGAGTTACTTTCTACTCCAGGTATCAAATCCACTAATTTCACATCCAACTTCTGATTCTCTCTAATCGTATCCAAGAAGTCATTATTCACCTGCAACATACCCAACATTACACTATCTGCAGTAGTCTCACAAGCCATACCCAAATCTCTGAACTGTTCAATTAACTCAATTTCTTTCACCATCATAGCCGACATATGAATTGCTTTCCTACTCAAAGCATCCGCCACTACATTGGCCTTTCCTGGATGATAACTTAAACTGAAGTCATAATCCTTCAAAAATTCCAACCATCTCCTCTGCCTCATATTTAACTCTTTCTGATCAAACAGATATCTCAGACTCTTGTGATCACTGGACACTTCAAATCTCGAACCATACAAATAATGCCTCCAAATTTTCAACACAAAAACAACCGCAACCAATTCGAGATCATGAGTAGGATAATTTCCCTCATGCACTCTCAGTTGCTGCGAAACATATGCTA